TTCTGGGCTCCAGAGCGCCCTCTGATCACGTGGGAAGGAGGCCCCCGACGTTTCTGCCTAAAAGATGCATCTGATTTTAGCTGAGAGGCGCTCTCACACTCATGCGTTTGTGTTTTGGTTCGGGAGAGGCTGAGGCTTCTTCAGCACGCACCATCTTGGGAACACAGGGTGACCACCACTGGAGCTAGCACTGCGGGTGCACCCCACCTCCGCTAAGCCAGCAGCACTGCGGGTGCACCCTCCTCCCGCCCCCACTGGGCCTGCCTCAGAGGGATAGCTTGAAAACCACCAAGCTCAGCTGCACTGGGTTTCTCGCCAGTATGATTTCCCCATTATTGCTCTTATTGGTAGTAAATAAAAATGCCTTTAGTTCTTGTGCTCACAAAGGAAATACCCAGCAAATGCAGAACTCCTTTAGCATCCATTAAAAGCCATTTTTTTAAGTCCTACTTCTCCAGTTTTGCTCTTCCCTACTTGAGCTGCCTTAAAGTGTCTCTGGAGGTAGGAAACTGTGTACGCCCTCCTCCCTCCCAGGCCTCCTCCCTCCCAGCCCTCCTCCCCCCCAGCCCTCCTCCCTCCCAGCCGTCCTCCACCCCTGCCCTCCTCCCTCCCTGCCCTCCTCCTTCCCAGTTCCCCAGCACCACAGGAGGAGTCTCCATGATGGCCGCTTCCGCCCTGGGGCCTGGAGCTGTGCTAAGGCTTTCTTGGAAAACTTCTAGTTGTTTCTATCCGTGACACATTTTAAAAAGCACTTACATTAAAAATGCATAGATATTTGTTTCAATTTACATAAAGGTCCAGACCAAAATGGGATGTGGCTTGCTGCTTAGATTGGCCATTATCACAACTCTGATTCAGAGAAAAACCTAAATTCCATGTTTATGCAGGTCTTATGGCTGAGGCGCTCTGCTTGAAGGAGGAGGTAAACTAGGCCCTCCGCAGGAGTCCCTGCTTTCTTGTTGCGTGTGGGGAGACCTGGGCGAGACGGGGCTGTTGCTGCCGTGCTGATTGGAAGCGATCTCTGCAGACTGACCCCGCCCTGCATGTCCGCCATTCTTTCTACCTGCCCGTTGGAAGACAGACTGCCTAGCTACTTCTACTTCAGACTTATTTTCTGATTTAGAATGTACTTACTTGTGGATGTGGTTTCGGAGGGCATGCAGCCAAGGTCGTGACAGCTGAATAAAGTGTTTCCTTCTGAAATGCCCCTAGAACTGCGCTTTCGTTTATCAGCTGCCCTCGGCCTGTTGTATGGGATCAACCAAAATTCAGGTATTTAGAACATCAAGACTCAGCGGCCTGGTTCTGTCACACCAAGAACACAAACAAACAGCTGATCAGTGATGCATCCAGGACGTTTCCACCGTTAAGTCGTAGCATGCAGAATCTCAGGTAGCAAAGCGGAAAGAATGACGACTCGCACGCCCTGTGAAGCCAGCACCTGGATGCCGCCTTCTGGGGCCACGTCGACAGTTACTTACACCCCTTCAACCTCAGGCAGGATTCGGTCGGTCTCTTTACTGCAAATTGATGTCGTTACTAATTATTGCATTTAATGTCAGCAAAAATCTGATTATCGTTCAGCAGTTAGTTTCTGGTAACTTGAGTATGTTGTGAGGCTGGGGAAAGGACATAAAAGAGCGCCTTGTACAGCTGGGCACACGTGGGTAAGCAGTGCGTACCGTCACAGAATTTACTGTCTGCATAGAATTGAGATAGCCGCACATAACTGTACAGTGAGCAGTATAAGTTAATTCAGAGAAAGAAGAAACGATTTCCTACTGAAGGGATTCAGGAAGGAATTTTGTAGGAGAGCTGGGCATTGAACAGGCTCTCCCAGGACGTGTGGGTCAGATTGGCCCCCACATGGCTGGGGTCCCCCGCGGGCCAGTGTTGCCCACCTACGGGAGCAGATGACACACAGCCACCCAGGCCATGCACCAACACCCCTCCTGTCGTGCTCCATGCTTCTCTGAGCACTTCCTTCTTCCTCGTGGACCCGGGCTCCCTGGGGGCCAGCCCTGTTCTGGCAGAGCCTCCGTGGGTGTCAACGCACACCCCTCATTGATGAAAATGGACTTGAAAATCCCGTGTTATCAATTTGTTAGCTCTCTCTCGGGTCTCCTTGGTGACAGTTTTTGGAGCAGCATTCTGTTCCTGAGGGAGGAGACGCTGAGAGGGGTGACCACTCTGCTGCCCTAGCCCGCCTGGGACCAGGGCTCCGCACCGTCCTGCCGTGGCACAGGGTTACTAGCCTTGGATCCGCTGGTGGTTCTCTACGGGCTTTGCTTGCAGGTACACAAAATTGGGGGAACCTGGAAAAACTGTTTTTAAGTCTCATACATCTACTGACGACTTCCAAAGTACAAGGTACAGAATACCAAGGGTTTTCTGTTGTCATAAACTAGAGTTTTAATGTAGATATTTAGGTGAGACCAAATGTGTGTCGTGTACAACAGAGGGGCTAATGCTGCGGGAAATGGGCCTCGTTTTCCTGTTGTTTTCCTCACATCGGACTCTTTTTCTCCGGAAATGCCGGGGAACCTGTCTTTATCTATTTTTTGTAGAGATGGGGGTCTCGCTATGTTTCCCAGGCTGGTCTTGATCCTCCCAACTTGGCCTCTGAAATGCTGCAATTCCAGGTGTGAGTCACCACACCTGGCAGGGGAACCTTTCTGAAGCACAAGCGGTGTGCCCTCCTCAGGGCGTGTCCTCTCTGTTTCCCTTCTCGGTCACATCAGCAGGAGCTTCCTGCACATCTGTGTGCCCAGCCCGGGCACAGCGGGAGTCCAGGTCTCCCTTCAAACCCAGCCTCCCCAGCATGCTCTGAACACTTACCGGCATTTTTCCTCAAGTGATGATCATAGCATTGGCCTTACTTTAGTTATTCTTAAAATAAAGTTCTAAAAGTTTATTAAAGTGATGAACATACACATTCCTTTTTAAAAGCCTCGCCCGCACCCAGAGGCACACCCTGTTAGCTGTTTGTTCTCATGGCATATGTTGGTGCAGCTCTGCAGTGATTCCTCCACTGGGGGCGTCTTTCCTGACTGCCTGGTGTGGCCCCAGCACTTTCACACCCGCTGTTCCCCACCCCACCCCGGAAGGTCGTGGTTTTTACTCTGGTCAGTTCTTCTTTGTTGGGAGTTCACCATGAAAAGTACTTCGCAGCCAAAGAGCGACGACTGGGAACCAGAGCAGCTCCTCATGACACCCGCCTGTGCCCGTTTTCCAGCATCCTGCCACCCAGCCAGGCCCGTCTCCTCCCTGGCCGGCGCTCCTCACTTGGGTTCTCTGGAAGTTGGCACAGTTTTTATTAAAATAAAATCAGGCCGGGCGCGGTGGCTCACGCCTGTAATCCCAGCACTTTGGGAGGCCGAGGCGGGTGGATCACGAGGTCAAGAGATCGAGACCATCCTGGTCAACATGGTGAAACCCCGTCTCTACTAAAAATACAAAAAATTAGCTGGGCATGGTGGCGCGTGCCTGTAATCCCAGCTACTCAGGAGGCTGAGGCAGGAGAATTGCCTGAACCCAGGAGGCGGAGGTTGCGGTGAGCCGAGATCGCGCCATTGCACTCCACCCTGGGTAACAAGAGCGAAACTCCGTCTCAAAAATAAAATAAAATAAAATAAAATCAGCATTCGTAGCATCATGGCTGTATAAACACTGTTCTCAAGAAAGCCAAGTCACGTGTGCGTGGGTCTGATTCTGGACCAGGCCTGAGTTCCCTGGGCCGCTGGTCTCCACGCCCCCAGCCTCGCCGTCTGACAAGTGGCCCTTGAGGAGCCTGCAGTGTCTGGCAAGGCCAGCCACGCGAGGGCTCTCTGCTGCCGTGCTTTCCTGGCCCTCCGTGCCTGTTTGTTTTTCCTTGTGACCTTCAGTGGCAGCTTGTTAAACTCCATAAAATAGCTTGTTGGGGTATTTATTGGCAATGCGTTGAATCTGTGAATTAAGCTGGCGAGAGCTGACATCTTAAGAATGTTGACGCAGCCTACCCGAGCAGGGAGCATCTTTCCATTGGTTCGGGTCTGCTTGTGTTTTCTAGGAGGGCTTTGAAAAACTTCCACGTCTGTGTTTTGCACATTTCATGTTGAGCTTATTTCTGTGCGTTGTCTGCTCAGTAGCTTTCTGCATGGATCTCTTTGCCATGATGTCCTCCGTTTATTATTTGTGTATATCAAGGCTATTGATTGTTCTGTGTCCGTTTTAGGTTCTGCTAATTCAGAGAATTGTTACAGGCATCCAGAAGGTCCCCGGCAGGAGGGTAGGGAGGAGCTTTGAGCAGGGCAATTCCTTACGCGGTCCTTCCACTCTTCACCACTGCTGCCGGGTATACATTGCAGGTTCCTTCACTGGAGCAAATTCTCTCTTCTGTGCTGCAGATGTTTTCAGAAGGACCCCGTGCTTCTGAGAAACACTCGGTACCCCAGTGGCAGCTGAGTTGGACTTGGTGTTGCCATGTGACAGCCATTACTTATCTCATTGATGTTCCTAGCAGTTCTCAATAAATATTTGTTGAATGAATATTTATAACCATCATGTGTGGTAGTTCTTAGCTGGCGTTTTGTTTTGTTTTTTTGAGACAGTCTCATTCTGTCACCCAGGCTGGAGTACAGTGATGCGATCACAGCTCACTGCAACCTCAGCCTCCTGGGCTCAAGCGATCCTTCCACTTCAGCTGGGACTACAGGCGTGTGCCACCACACCTAGCTAATTTTTTTTTTTTAATTGCAGAGATGTGGTCTCACTCTGTTGCCCAGGCTGATCTTGAGCTCCTGGGCTCAACTGATCCTCCCACCTTGGCCTCCTAAAATGCTGGGATTTTAGGCATGAGCCGTGGTGCCTGTCATTATCCAGTTTTATACCTGGAGAAACTCTGAGCCATGTGTTCAGGACCACACAGGTATTACCTGCAGACTCAGAGGAAAGAGTAGGGATGAGTTCCAGGCTTTCCCTTGAGTCCGTGGTAAATTTCTTCATTTCTTCTCCTGCAACAGGCCCGGTACAAGCAGAGCCTTGACCCAACTGTGGACGAAGTCAAGAAGCTCTGCACATCTCTACGCCGCAACGCCAAGGAAGAGCGAGTCCTCTTTCACTACAACGGCCACGGGGTGCCCAGGCCCACAGTGAACGGGGAAGTCTGGGTCTTCAACAAGGTGGGTGTGCCCGCCAGCTTTCTCTCCGCTCCTACAGGAGCCGTGCAGCGTTCGTGGTGCGCAGCAGGTCCTGTCCATCCGTAGCTTCTGTGAAGCCGTGGATGTTACTGTGCCTAAGCAAACCCAAAATGCAGTCACTGAACGGCCCAGGGCACCAGGCACAAGGAGGGCGTCGTGTCTGTGGCAGAACGTGTTCATGCAGTGACCGTCTGGAAGCAGGGCACGCGTGGTTTATCTTTGCTGCTGTGAGAACTGTAGTTGTGTGTAATTCTCCGAGGATAGACCTCAAGAGTGTCTCTGCCTTGTAGTTTGAAAAACTGCATGAAGCATCAGTGATTTTCTTAGAAAAGAAAATGTTTTAAATGTTCTGAAGGGCTAATTCTAAGCTGCCCTGCAGATGCAGCTTCCGGGTTTCCCTGCCCCAGGTCAGACTTGCCGGCCTTTTGCAGTTCCTTTGCCCGGCAACAGATGAGGTGCTCGCCCCTCTCCCGCAGCTGCTTGTGTGGGAGGTGAGTGCTGACTGTCGTCCTCGTCCTCCCGGGTGGGAACTTCGGTCCATCTTGAGCAGCCGGCCGCGGGTGTCACTGTGCTCGGTGTGATACGTGAAAGCAGTCCCTGGAGGGTGCGGAGGCCACATGTGTGCTTGAGCGTGTCTATAAGGGCACTGATGTGGAATCCAGCAAACCTGAGTTCCGGTTGTGCGGTCAGTCTCCTGGGCCTTTGCTTCCTCGGTGTTGACGCCGCCTCCCGGCTTCACAGTGAGGACCAGCTGACTCCGTTTCTTCACACGCTGAGTGAACTCTCAGTTCCCGTCCACTGTCCTGTGTTCTCAGCCAGCATTCGGCACAGGTGGTGATGCACTGTTGGCCCAGGGCAGGCAGAGACCTCGAGGACCGCTTTAGACCCTAGACGCGGAGCAGGAGCCAGCCTCGGGAGTTAGGAAGGCGTCCGGGCTGGTTTAGACCCTAGACGCGGAGCAGGAGCCAGCCTCGGGAGTTAGGAAGGCATCCAGGCTGGTTTAGACCCTAGATGCGGAGCAGGAGCCAGCCTCGGGATTTAAAGGCGTCCAGGCTGGTTTAGACCCTAGACGCGGAGCAGGAGCCAGCCTCGGGAGTTAGGAAGGCGTTCACACAGCTCCTCCCACAGGGGAGTGCCATCTCACCTCTGTGTGTACCTGAATACCAGCTTGATTTTGATTCCTTCTGTTTAATGTCGGATAAATTCAAAGTGATCATTATCAAGGAAGTAGAATTTACAGAAGCGTGATATAATGAACCGCCAGGTGTGCACCGCAGGCCCCTGGCGTGTCTTCCCCAGTCTCAGTCTCTCCTTTCCCTGCCCTCCCCTGCGGCGCCTGGCATAGTGAGTTTGCGTTTGTCCTTCCCTGGCTGTCCTCTGCAGAGCCCCCAGGCTGCTGGCTCACGGGCACAGTTGAGAGCCTCCGTGCACAGCTGCTGATGCACTGGGCGGACACTGGTGCGCTCTTCCGTAGTGCGCTTTGCTCACTCAGTGGGAGGCTCGGCAGATTCCTGCCCGATCCCAGGGAACTGCAGCTGTGCCCCTTCCCTCATTTGCTGTCCCCTGCCAAGACCCAGCCCTTCTCAGTGCCTTCGCCACAGATGGGCGTCGGGCTGGTTCCCATCTTGTCTCTGCTCTAAACCGCACGAGTGTTTCAGGTGCCCACCTTTCTCTCCAGCGCTGGGTGTTGTCACAGGTTTTGTTTTGTTTTGTTTTGTTTTTAATGATAGACTGTGCTGTGCTGTGATTTTCTCCAATAACCATGAAGGTCCAGCAGCCTGCACCCGCCTGCCGGCTCCCCGCTCCACAGGGAGCAGGTTTCCTCTTACGCTCCTGGTAACTTACAGAACACAACCTTTTTTTTTTTTTTTTTAAACAAGGTCTCTCTCTCTCTCTTTTTGTTTTTTGACATCCTGTCACCCAGGCAGGAGAACAGTGGCATGATCATGGCTCACTGCAAACTCTGCCTCCTGGGCTAAAGCGTTCCTCCTACCTCAGCCTCCCAAGTAGCTGGGACTGTAGGTGCACACCACCACACCTGGCTAATTTTTGTATTTTTTGTAGAGTCAGGGTCTCACCAGGTTGCCCAGGCTGGTCTTAAACTCCTGAGTCCAAGCAGTCCTCCCGCCTCAGCCTCCCAAAGTGCGGGGGTTACAGTGTGAGCTGCTGCACCTGGCGCCCAGCTGTGTTTTTATTGTGTTTTTGTCCCTGTTCTGCCGACACCTCCAGTGGAGTGAGGGAGGACTGCAGGAGGGTGGGGCCCCCTTTGTTTCCTTTTTCCTTCCAGAGGGAGAGCTCCGGGTTCCGGGTTCCATGTGGGACATTTGCACCAGGCTTTTTGTAAAACAAAAACAATCAGCATTATCCAGTTAAGAAAGTTCAATTCTTAATTTGGTTTTTCAAAAAAATAGTGACTAGATGTTGGTTTGTCTCCCGTGGTTATTTGTGTGTGTGTTAAGGTGGTCATAGGACTCTTCTCCCTTAGGCTGGCGCTACATGGAGTGATACTGAATGACCGTCCCCTGTTATGCACACGTTTCTTTTTGGGGTGACCTGTGTCAAGAATAATCCATTTCATGCAGGGCTTAACTCAGTTTGCAGCCATTTGGTTCCATATGTTAAATCTGTGTTCGTGAGCGAGATTGGCCAGGGATTCTTCTCTTTCTCGCTGTCTTTGCCTAGTGGAAGTAATCAATAATTGAGGCCTTAGAAAAGAAGTTGAGGAATGTTCCTTCTTTGTGTGTAGACTTGAATAATTTTTGTGATATTTGAAGTATTTGTTGTCTGAATGTTGTGGAACTTACAAAGAAAGCTCTGTGGGACGATATTTTGTTGGTGGAGAGATTTTTGACTACTGATCTAGTTTCTTTCATGGTTAAAGAGCTGTTCAGTTTTTCTGTTAGCTTTGCTAACTTGCTTTTGTAGGTAGGACCTTGTCCATTTCAACTAAGCTTTCCAACGTGTTGACATAAACTGGCTTACAATACCCCTTTAGAAACTCACCAGTGTCAGGGGTATCTGAGTGAGGTGCCTTCCTTTGCTCTTAGTGCTGGGTATATGTGCCTTCTCTCTTTTCTTGTTGATTATTCTTATGAGGAGTTTATGTGCTTTTTATCAGTCTTTTCAAAGACCCAACTTTTACAGTTACTGACCCTCAGAGGATGGAAGGACCAGTAGGATGAATGCCTTTATACTGTTCCCCTGTTGACAATTAGATGCTTCCCCCCCTGAACCATTTGAAAGATGCAGACATCCTGACACTAAGATTGAGGATAGTTTTCTGTGTCACCAGAGTACCGTCAAATTGCTCAAGAAAGGAACATCAGTTCTATGTCATTTACTGTAGAGTCCGTATTTGTATTTTCCCAAGTGTTTGCAAAATGTGCATTAGCCGGCATTTTTGTACCTGTTGATTTTGTTGTGGACCCAGAATCTAATTAAGGCTCATGCATTACGTCTGTCCCTCATGCCTTTTCGGTTGTCCTCAGCCGAGATTGGTCTCCTTGCCTTTCATTTTATGACATTTTCTTTTTAAGCGACTTTTTAAAAATTCTGTCTTCTTTTGGTAAGTCAGCATATAGTTATGCATCAGTCTTTTTATTATTATTATACTTTTTTGAGATAGAGTCTCCCTCTGTTACTGAGGCTGGAGTGCAGTGGCGCGGTCTTGGCTCACTGTAGTCTCTGCCTCCTGGGTTCAAGGAATTCTTCTGCCTCAGCCTCCCGAGTAGCTGGGATTAGAGGCACATGCTACCACGCCTGGCTAATATTTGTATTTTCAGTAGAGATGGGGTTTCACCATGTTGGCCAGGCTGGTCTCGAACTCCTGACCTCAAGTGATCTGCCCGCCTCAGCCTCCCAAAGTGCTGGGATTATAGGTGTGGGCCATCACGCCTGGCCTTGATGCCAGTTTCTTTATTAGATATGTGTTTTGCAATTATGTCCTCCCAGTTTGTGGGATTACAGGCCTGAGCCATCATGTCCAGCAGTCTTTTTAAAAAAATTAATAGACCTCATTTTTTTCAGAGCAGTTTTAGTTTTACGGAAAACTCGAGCAAGTCTGTTGACTTGCTTCCCCTCATTCTCCACTATTATTGATGTCTTGCTTCGGTTTGTTATGTTTCTTACAACTGAAGAGTCAATAATGGTGCATTATAATTGTCGTCTGTAGTTTACGTGAGGGCTCACTCCTGGTGACGGACCCTCTGCAGATTTTGCCAAATGCGTGATGTGCTGCACCCACCGTTATGATGCCACACAGAGTAGTTTCAGTGTCGTAAAAATCTGCTGTGCTCTCTCCCTCACCTTCCCTCCCCTGTAATTTGGTCTTTCTGGAATGTCCTATAGTTGGAATCATATAGTATGTAGCCTTTTCAGACTGGCTTCTTTGACTCAGTGATATACACTTAAGACTCCTCCATGTCTTTTTGTGGCTTGATAGCTCTTTGTTTACGATTACTGAGCAACACTAGTGTGTGAGGACAGCACCGCTGGCTTTTCCGTTTTCCTTTTCAAGGGTATTTTTGTTACTCCCAGCCTCTGACAATCAGGAATAACGATACTGCAAACGTGTGCAAGTTTTTGTATGGATGTAAGCTTCCCATTCCTTTGGGTAAATACCTGGGAATGTGTTTGCTGGATGGTTCGGTTAGAGTATGTTTAGCATTATCAGGAACTGCGAAGCTGTCTTCCAACCGTGTCTGTACCGTTCTGCATTCCCGCCAGCACTGACGAGAGTTCTGTTGCTCCACATGCTCGACAGCACTTGACATTGTCAGTGTTTGGATTTTAGCCATTCTAGTGGGTATGCAGTAGGATCTTATTGTTTAATTTTCAATTTTATAATGATGTGAAATTGGGCATCTTTTCTTTTTTTTTTTTTTTTTTTTTTTTTTTTTTTTTTTTTTTTTTTTTTTGAGACGGAGTTTCGCTCTTGTTACCCAGGTTGGAGTGCAATGGCGCGATCTCGGCTCACCGCAACC